CTCCAAAAGTGACACAAGATCATCAGCTTTATCGTCATATGCAGCAAAATCAATCTGATGTGTCCTTTTGAAGGCAGTTAACATCCAACGTGCAATCTGAGCGTTGTGTACTTGTATAACAGGCGATATTTTCCTAAAGAAAACAAACAGCCAGTGTTTGCCCAGAGATAGGAGCAGCTGCTGCACACCTGCCTGCAGCTCGCCTCTCCTCCTCTCCGGACCAGTGTAGGTCTTTTGTTGCAACAAACAGGCAGATGAGGAGCGACCACCTTTGCATAGGGTATACATTTCAGCACCCGTTTAATTACCATCATGTCCTTGACATGTGAAATTGAACTGGCCCAACTGCGTTTATCTATAAACATCAGGCGTCAGTGGCAGTACATGCAGGAAAAAGCCGAGCTCAGATGTAATGCAGGGTGTGTGATGGGACCATCATGTCTACTGTAAGAGTGATGGGAATACATCTCTTGGGCATCTGTGCATAAACTACACTGTCTGTCACAGTGAACAATTAGTAAAGAGCATTACAAAGAACTGTGGCACCTTTAACATTTAATTAATCATTTTAACTGAAGGAAAGTGCTCTCTTGGGCAATAACGTATAGGCTTGTAGTTTTTGAGTACTGTAAGCCCAGTTTTTCAGGCACTGTTCTACTCGCATGAACATTGACACCATTTTTACATCTCATTTCCACTAAAACATGAGTTGATAATATTACTTTCACACTCTACAAGTAACATCTGTTAAGACTAAGTCCAAAAACAAATCCAGGAATTCGACACAATGGCCTATATTTGGCCACGCTTCACATTTGACTGCCACACAGTGAGATTTGCACACTCCTGAGCCGTGAGAGACACTTTAAATATAGACGGCATGGCAGGACAGTGTTGGTACAGTTGGGCAGTGGGATTGTGAACGGGATTATAATATTATGGTATACGGCGGTATTCATTTGACTCCAGGTTCCAGTGTGCCATACCACGCATAACATCCCCAGCGCACAATGCAAGGATCACTTTCTGCAGCATGAAACAGTGCCGGCATTGAGCCAATGCCATTTCAGAATAGTCTTTGGAAAAGCCTTACAATTCACAGCAGCTTCCAAACATGTTGCAATTTAGTAAAAGCCATTGTACCTCTACACAGGAGAAGCATATCTCATGTGTATTTGTTAGTTGCCATCTAGACTTCAGGTCTACTGGGTCTGTTTGCAGCAGCTCAGACATTTTGTATCTGTATTTCTCTTTGGTTTTTGTTTGTTTTCAAAAACAGTTTTGGAGAAAATCTTACATTTTGTGGAAATAAAATGCATTCCAAACCAGATATATCGTTTTTGCTGTGCTCATACCTCAAGTAATTGCCTTTCTGACTGACAGAGATGAATATGCTTAAAACTGAAACTGATGATGTCAGATTAAGAGATAATTTCTTAAACAGGGAAGATGATAGATAAGAAAACACAATTGAAATGTTTTATGGATTAACATGTATGTCACATGGCTAAATATTTTGGTTATTTATATTGCATGGTTTTAGTTTTTTTTATATATACTTTACCTTTAGGTTTGATTAAATTGCAGGTTTTAGAAATCATGCGGTATAAATAAAACAAATAGATTATTTGCCATGTGACAATTAGTCTATACTTTTTCTTAATGAAATTATTAGTATTTTTTCTCTTCATTTTTTCAAGTAAGCCACTTTAACCTACATTTAAAATATTGTGGCCCATCAGCATGTCTAGCAATAAAGCTGATGATGAAGCTTACCTCCCAGCAGCAGCAGCAGCAGCACCACAGCGATGTTTCCCAGAGAGAAACCACAACTTGGCCTCATCTTTGCGAACCATAGGTGAAAGTTTCTCTATGAAAATTAAAGTTCCTTTCAGCGACGAATAATAAAGAAAAAAGCAATAAAAGAAAAGCAGGTGTTGCGTAAACCAGAGTGTCCTGTGCGCGGTTCCGGTGAGGGGGATGCGGTCCTCAGTGTCCCGCAGACGAGCTGCTGTGTGCGGCTGTGTGTGTGTGTGCGGCTCCGGGGCTGCTGCGGGGCTGCTGCGGGGCTGACTGGCTGTCTGTCCAGGGGGAGGAGGCTCTCTGCTCCACTCTCTGTTCCACTCACTGCCCCGCTGCTTCCTGCAACAGCAGGCAGCTCAGCATCTACAGGAAATTTAAGAGCATAATTTAACAGCAGGTCAGTCACCTCATTAACACTCTGCGTGGGGGAAAAATATTAACAATTATCATTAAATGGGTAATGATGCATTTTAAAGGTCCATACACTGTTTTTTAACAAAGTGTAGCAGGTGCGTTCATTTTAATCACTGCTTTATTGGAACAGTGCTGTAATCATTTATGTGTGAAATAAGGATTATTTCTCATAGAGCACCTTTAACATTGAGATGTTAACTCCAGTGTCATTTGTGAAACATTAGATGAACTGCCAGTGGGGAGGTGACAGGGTTTTTGGCTGCATGGTGAACCTGCTGAACTGCAGCCCTCACAATCATGTGGATTAATGAGACGGAGACCTGACTAGCAAACACGTGCTTTGTTTTTATGCTACTTAAGTACCGTTTTAAAATACTTGAGTATTTCTTTTTGATGCTACTTTATACTTCTTCTTTACTACATTACGGAGGTTCATGATGTGCTATTTAATCCACATATGTTGACCAACTTTAGCTCATTTAGAGATTCAGATAAAAAAAAAAACCGTATTCAACTATTTAAATATTATGTATAGTTATGGATTAAGCTACACAGCACTATATAAAGTAATTAAAACCAGATCCACCTTTATTTAAAGAGGCAGTATTATGCTTTTTGGGGTTTCCCTTTCCTGTAGAGTGCTATATGGCTTTTTTGCATGTAAATGGTTTGCAAAGGCTAAAATCCCAAAGTTTCTCTAAATACTACCCTGAAACGCCTCTGGTATATTCCTTTGTTAGCTTCTGAGACATAGTTACATCACTACGTAACACTTGCACTTCCATTGTCTAGATCTCCAACATATTATACGTGGCAAAGGGGTGGGACATCTCGTGTTGACAATTCACAACACAGCCGGACAGCTAACCAATCAGAGCAGATTGGGCTCTGGTTTCAGACAGAGGGTGAAAAGAGGTGTTGCAGCACAGTCAGTATGAGAAAAATAAAGAACCTTTTGAACATTAAAGCATGGAGACATGTCACAGTAGAGACAGAAAAAACAAATATGAAACCTGAAATGAGCATAAAAGGGCCCCTTTAATACAACAATTTTGATCTAATCAAATAATATGAATGATTCTGAAAATGGCTTTAATGCACAATAAGAACATGTACTTATATTATATTTTGCTGATACTTACATTATTTTACTCAAGTAATTTTCTCAAATGTAGGACTTTGACTCGTAGTGGAGTATTTTTTGTGTGGTTTTACTTCATTTTTACTTCAGTAGGAGATAATACAATTATTCCACCACTAATACCACGTAGGAACCACGCTTATACCTGCCAGAACAAAAAGAGCAAACAGTTGAGTGACTCCAGGTTTAAAGACTGCCTGTCGTTTAAGTGAGGGATCTCTCCGTGACGGGGTGGTGTGGAGTGATGCATTGCTGCAGCCTCAGGGCAGGACACCAGTCAGTCACACAGCAATCGCTCTCCAATCAATGTCCCTGCATGGAGCAAAAACACTGGAGCTCACTGGGCTGCAGAGGGACAGCAGGGCTTCTCAGGAGCTCCAGCAACTTTCACCAAGTGGAACAAAATAATGCTGTTATATTTCACCTGCTGTCTTTGGTTTGCTCAATATGTTTCCTGGGTTTAAAAAGGAAGACAAATGTGAGGAAACCATAGACGGTATATAAACAGGAAGAAAGCTTTATCAGAAGTAAGCAAGATCTAAACATTTTTTTAGATGTTGTCAGTTTATATTTATAGTAAACACGTGTGTTGAACATCTAATAATATCCAGATTAGCTTTTTAAATGTTTATTTTGTAGGCTCAGCCACAACATTTTTTGGGGATGGTATACTATCAGTACAATACTGGCCAAAAAATAAATAAATCATTACAGAAACAATCCGTTAGCCTTAAACAGCTTTTTTGAGGCATAGGCTACATTGAGTTTTAAGTTACGTCCAGTAATTTACACGGAATTACAATTTTCTTTGTAACAACTGCTAAAAGAACAGTAAAAAGCACCAGAAGTATTGTGTAACCGTGTATGGGAATACAATTGAGCTTCCTAGTTTGAGCATGGGAGTAGATGGCTAAGAAAAGTGTGTCCATGTATTATTAACAGCTTAGTTTAAGAGGGAAAAGGACTCAAGGCCGTTACTTAATGTTTCCGTTAAGGTTTCGGACATGATCAAAGTGTTATCGAGCCATCCCTAAAATAAAACCCTTTAATTACATTTAAAATAAAGTTATTGCTTGAAAATGTCCAAGATATCATGTTTTTTTCAAATGTGAAATTGACATCAATATGTTAACAGATACCCAAATGGTCACTTACACGATATAGGAGGATGAATGTAATGCTGCTCTCTGTATCAAGGGAGAGCGTGCGGATCATTATGTGATATAAGAAGCTAAGGGGTCTCAATGAGAACATTGCATCTGGGATAAAGTTTCCATATGACAGACTATAGGTATCAAGAGACATAATGCTCAACAAGAATCAATAAAGACAAGGAAATGTTGTGGTGTAGTCATGGTATGTGGAACCACAATGCTATTTTATGGGCTTTTTATGACAATGTTCCTGTATCATGGGTTCAGCAGAAATGTTATCTGAAACATAAGCACAATGCTAATCATCTCGGCTGTCTAGACCTTGCTATGGTGACCCTTAAGATTTTTCTTGGGATGTTTCTAATGGAGCTCATTGCGCTGTTGTAGTTCCTGTAAGTCTCTCAGAATGACTCAGCTAAATGCTTACATTTAAATACAAAGCTTTATCAATGCATGCAAACACACAAAGATATTTTTAGACCCCCTTGGTAAGTCACTATTGATTTTATTTTCATCTCGAGGAGATGCGTTTCCATTTCTTGCACAGTGGTTTAGAGAAAGCAATTATGGACTAGAGTCCTGTTCAAAAAGGCAGGATGCACCTACAGGGATCCAGACTGTTCATAAGATAATTACCAAAATCACTACAGCATATTACACCGTTACTACGCCATCTGAGCAGTGTGTAATATGATTTCACTCTGGAAGAGCAGCGTGATGCTGTCATTTCATTAACTAGATGTTCATTTCATGATGTACACATCACCTGATGCTAAAGTCACACAGCATGTTCAATACTGTCATGTAAACAAAAATATCAATAAATCACTCAATACTCAACCACGTGGAAATGTTATGTTCTAAAAATAAGCCCCGTTTCAGTAGGTGAGCATGTGTTGAATATCTAAAATGTGCTCACGCTCTTGAAGGCGGCTTGTTGTGTTCTCTGATGAATTGGATTTCTGTAATTTCCCAGATTTTCTAACACAATGAGTGCAAGAGGTGTCGTTCCCATTAATGACACTCCTTTGTGAGCCGTGCATCTTGACCCCTATTAAAGTACTGTCACTCGGACAGCAGATGGTATCCGCACACGCACAGAAGGGGAAGGAGTGGCCATGGCAACAGACTCATAATGGCTGGCCTGGTGTGTAGTGGAATCACTCGGCCTAATTTGTTAAGTACCACCTCAGTATATTTGATTTAATCAGTGTATTCAGTGCACAAAACAAGTGGCATCAAATAAATCCTCAGCTGCCCACACTGACGGTGGAACAAACATCTTCTTTAGGTTTTCATAGATATTCATACATTTTCATCATTTTTGCCTTCGTGCAGCCAGTGTTTGATAAAAAAATGTAAGCATTAGTACAACTCAATTGTACATGGGTAGGTTGTACATTACTGGAAAGTAAACCAAGCCAAAAACAGTCGGACACCTTTCCCACAGAAGTTATTGTATTCCACATACCTAACAATAAATTGGGATTGTTAGAGTTGAACAATAAAATAATGTTATCTACAGAATGTAAAATATGACAGATGAGCATCCTGGTTTATATTTTGAGGAAGAATTTCTTCCTGTACAGCAGGTAAGCGATGAGCACCCACAATGCAGTCCCCCACAGGCTTTGGAAGAGCTGCTCCCAGTGGCTCTCCTGGAAGCGCATCTCCCAGCTGAACGGGAAGTAGAACCCCAGGAGAGTGTGACCAACATATACAAAGATGGAGTTCATCCCTGAGGAGGGGAGGAGAAGAGACAAAAATAAGATCCTATCGAACAAGACTCTTTAGAGGAAATCTCATCCTACTTTGCACATTTGTAAAACACATTACGGATAAAACAACTATATTGGGGGAGGCAGTGCAAAAGCTTTAAAAAGAAAAGTTAAACTTTACTTCAAATGCTTGTCTCTGAGTCTGACCAAAACCTTAGCTTGACCAAATCAGTAATAACAACCCCTACAAAGCTATCAAGGCCATTTTAGAAATGGCAGTAGACTCCTTTAATATTAGCTGCAATAGCTAATCCAGGGGGCTAATTACTGTGTTACTAATAACTTTGGTCGAACTCTAAGACCAGCATTTTAATAGTTAATGTACAACTGAAAAGGATCCTTTAAACATGTAAAAACTAACATGTTGGCCACTTTGAGGAAATAAATAAACGATTGAGTGAGTGCATAATTGCAAATAGTCATGTGTTCAATCGATGTAAACATTTCCATTATAGCTTTTTTAATAGAGAGTAGAAGAGTGTTAACATTTACCCCTGTATAATACATGTCATTCTTTGCTAGCGTTTAAGCAGTACCTGGGTATATGAATGGCTGACCGCCCCACCAGCCTTTGATATCAGTGACATAGTACATGCCTCCCAGCAGCAGGAAGGAGACACTGCCCATACACAACACAAAGGACAACGACCTGCGGAAACAAACCATCAGCAACACTTTACAACAACAGCAACATTTCACTCTGTACATCTGGCCATCACTAAAGTGGTGAACAAGGGTGTAAAAACACTGGGTCTATCAATCCTGTACTGCAGATAAATAACACCCAGGGGTCTCGAGGCACTCCAGCAAACTGCGGGACAGTTTGCTGGATTGCTCTAAGGCATCAGCAGTGGATCCTTGGCACGTGCCCCGTGGAGCCGTGCCAGCCAGCCATGTCCCTGTCTGTTCCTAAGTGCAAGAATGTTTGATGTAATACCATCTGATGTAAAATGGCTGCCTCCCGGAGCCTCCTGGCTTTTTTTTATTTATTTTTTATCTCCGCTGAAGTGGGGCCAAAAAGGACTCTTAGCTGGGAGTTAATTACTTCTAGACATCCAGGCAGGGACTCGTACTCAAGGGCTCAATAACCTGTGTATGATGAACTGCCTATAAAAGCCAGGCAGGTAATGGCCAGGGATGAGCGCAGCGTTAGCAGGAGGCCCCAGTGGAACATCATGAAGAATTTGCTTACACATCACAGATGAAATGGTATTCTTCCTGCTGCAACATTAAAATGATTCACTTCATATTAAGGGGAATGTGGGAGTGGAAAGAATGCGCAGGTCGTAAAGTAATGTACGTCTGAGGTTGTATTTCATGCAAAACCATTACAGACGTGCCTTGTTTTACCAAAAAGGCATATGATAGTTTGGGAGCGGTTAGACTACACCGCGGTTATATAGATGCTTTTCCCAGAGCCTGATCCCATTCCATCACACAGAGCTGGTCAAATGTGTTGTGAATGACTAGAGAGGATAAAGCAAGCATCCTTTATTTTCCTGGCTGTGAGGAAGAGTGATCATGTTGGGAGGATGTATAACCCCTCCACCTCACACTCCCGACAGCGCGGGTGATCATTTACAGTCGTAGCTGTCGTTAGAGGTAAGTAAACGCGTGTTTTAGCAGCCTTGATTTGTGCCTGTTGGAAACCCATCCTTTCTTTTGTGAGGAAAAGTGGCTGGATTTAGAGGGTCAGGAAGCACTTACCAAAGGTTTTTATTGACAGGTATAAATCCTCCATCTCGCGTGCACTTAGAAAGGATGGCTGCAGAGATTCCCTAAGGATAGAAATGAAACAGATTTCAAATCGATGGAGGGCGATAAAGTGAGCAGTATTGGGCTGCTAAAACGTGAGGATCAGAATCAAGCAGAGTCCGGAGGATTAACCGATTATCTAAAGTCAGATGCAAAGTCCATCAAGTCACACACACACAATATCGGACTACAACAGGCCAATATGTCCACGCTGGAATGTTATGCTCCTCGTAGACACCCCCCCCTTCAGAGTCACACCCATTTGAGGTGGACTCCACGTTCAGTTATTAACCACAGTACTGAGGAATAGTGTATGATCTCATGGACTCTTCATCAATGAGAGCTGTTACTGCCTCATCCATTTACCTTTACATATCATTTAGATACTTGAGGATACATTCTGTGCTCCAGAGAGAAACCCAGGGCAGTGGTTAGAATCCAAACATGCTTGTTAGGTGGATATCCATCATGTGTATAGATGACAGAATCGATGGTGTGGAAATAGCCTAGCCGGGGCTGGATTGAGTCTCCAGGCTATCCAGGCAGCAGGATGTGGGACGGGGCTGGTATGTGGGGCAATCGCTCAATTTCAATCTCTCACTTCTCGAGCCTGATCGTTGGATTTTAATTAACAGGGACTGTTGTTTATTAGCAGGAAGATGCATGGCCGCCCCTGGATATCAATCTGCTGTAGAAATAACAGAACAGAGAACTGTGGCGTAAAACCCAGCTTGTCCTTTACTGTATCAACACTTCTTTGTGAACCTCCTGTGCATAATATCAATTCTGTGGTTGGATGCCTGTAGAAATGAGCTCCCTCCTCCACTGTGGAGGCCTGCTAATGTCAAGAGCACATGTCTGAAACAAGAGGCTTCAGCTCTGCTCTCCTCTCCTCTGAGGCAAAATCGTATTAGAAAAGTCAATGTGAAGAGAAGGCCGATCGCTAAAACTAATTTTGCTTTCTTTGTCGCTGAAAAACATTTAGTGGGATTAAAAATAGATTCAGCTGAGATTAAAGAAAGAACCAAAGCAGAACACATATGCTGTATTTACACTTTACTCACGGTCTGTATCTCTTCCCAGAATCAATAAAAAAAACTCCAGCTCTCTCTGTCAACAATTGCAGTGCGAGAAAATCTATTTTATTGTTATTCTCTATTTCAGTTAACTGGGATTTTACGTCCCTGTATTGATCCAGCTCTAAACACTGTATGATCCTGAATATAACGTCTCTCAACATCACAATTTTGAATATCATCATCTATGTGACATTACCAGGTGAACCCATGGGGATACAGTGGCGAAACATAAAAGCCTAATGTTTATTTATTTCCTGTTGTGTTACTTTATCACTCTGTGCCTCTGGGAGAAGCCAAATGGATCTAATTTATTTCACCTCCCTCCAGTCACTCGCTCCACAATGATAGTCAATAAGATTCAACACCCGGAGACATAATGGGGAGATTTGTCATTTAGGAATTGAGGTTAATGATATTACATTCTCACAACAGAATTTCAATTGATTCTCACATGTATGAGCATTATTCTTCCCGATTTACAAACACAAAAAGACCCATTCCTCCAGTGCTGGATTTCTTGTATTGGATTTAGTGCATAAATGTTAGACCTATTACAGTCTTATTCGGTTTGTTTGTATCTCTGTCTGTTAGCAGGATTGCTGAAAAAATACTGCCATAACTTGGTGGAAGGGTGAAGCATGAGTCAAGGAAGGTTTGAGCGGATCCGAATCGTGGGGCAGGTGCACCATTTTATTTTTCATTTATGTAAATGTAAAGGCATATCATGCAAATAATAAATGTTAGTTTTGGAAAAACATCCAGAATTATATAGTGGGTGCAATTGCAGATTTGCATGTCATGGCAGACTGGACTATTTATTATTTATTTAGAGGTCTGGTCTCTCTGCCCTTCTAGTTTGATTATAATAATGTTGTAGGACCATATATATATATTTATTTATATACTGTGAGCATGGCTCTGGGGTTGGGGACCTTCCTTTTATTTCCTTTAGCAAGAGCATTAACTTGATTCTTTCTCGTTTAGTAAAAAGTTTGACAACTGCTAAATATATTGGCATACAATTTGGTACAGACATTCATTGTTCCCAGATGATGAATCTCTATTTGGTTAACCCCTTAGTTCTCATATCGTGCCACCATGAGGTCAAAATATGAATTGTAATGACGTTGGTGATCCTCTGGCTTTCCATCTAACACCATCCCCAGGTCAGACATTTGCATTAACCTCAGATATGCTTTCTATTCAGTGCTAATAAATACATTTTAACATTCTCCCAAACTATACTATAATGATGAACATGGTAAACATAGTTGCTTAACATTAGCATGTTGTTACTGTGAGCATATTAGCATACTCAAAGCACCATTGGGCCTAAATGCAGACGCACAGAGCTGCATTTCTCTCTGTAGTGTCTTCTTACATGCTGAGGATTTAAAAGCTTTATATCATTAGAAAGTAACGGCTGGAAGAGAAATATTATGAAGGCTAAAAGCTCTATTGAAATATTGCATAAATGCAGTAACGATAAAACAAAGTTAATGGATGGAATTGTTTACTTAATTTTAGGAACCTTCTGTCAGGTTTAATCACATTGGTCAAACAGTCACACATGCCAGTCTGCAGAAACCAGAAATATCAGAAAAGGCCCAGTAATATATACAAAAAAACTTCAAACTAATGGGATTAAACTAAGTGTTTTTCTCTGACTGCGTCTACTAGCCTCTTTTCATCATGCCCAGTTTCAAAGGCTGAGTGAGGCAGCCAGCTTCTCCGGCTCCATCATCGCTTCGGGCCACAGCTCCGCCGCTTCAGGATGTCTCCCTCCACAGCATGCAGGCTCATGCTAACTAACCCCGTTCTGCAAACAATCTCCTGTAGCGTCTCACTGTACTGTGCAAACAAACAAGCAAAGCTCAGCAAAGCCTTTCCTCCTGGATATCTGTCAATCTCGTTAGGACGGACTAACAGCCTCCTGTCACAGGTTTAGAAATGCAAAACGGGACGTCTCATATAACACTTGGCTTCTCCCTGTGGGACACAATCCCCCTCCAAATGAAATAGTTGCCAGCTTGCCTCTTCTTGTGTTGTGAGACCACCCAGAATAAAAAAAGATCCAAAACAAAAAAGTGCTTAACTGCTTTCTGAGCTGATAACTATCAAAATGTGTGTTTTTATTATGGGTTCGAATGAATTTTTATATTTTTTCTGTTATACCAAACTGTCCATACAGTCATATGATTTGTCTTTAAATGTTTATTGAGACTTAGTGTGCAGGTATATGATTTAATTGTGCCCTTTATTAGATGCTGCAGACTGTAGTAGACATTGAATAACTCTTCTAATCTGCAACCACATGTGAGGCACCGGCAATGAGAGACAGTGTTACCCCCCCGGGGCGCTGGATACTCATGACTGCCCGGAAATACAGCCACACATGGATGTTGTTTAATTGTACTGAGATCACACACATGTCCTGGACTAAGTCCTGCTAATGAATGGCTTAGCCAGCGAATACCAGAGTGGCTGAAAAACATGTTGCAGTCTACCTTCATGGCGAAGTAAAACCGCAGGACCATAAAAGTGCTCAGCCCGGTGTGAGTCACAGGAGCAGGAGAAGGTGATTTGTTGTCTTGGTTTTAAGTTATTAATTGACTTTTATACTCTATACTTTCCCAGCTGTGTTTCAAACCCCCATATTATGCAACGTACCAGGATGACGGCCCACACGAGGAATCGATAGAGGATGTGGACGTTTATCCCCCGGTAGAAAATGATAATTTTCCCAGCCTGTGGAGAAGGAGGCAGAGATAAGCAGGGACACCACAACTCAGTTAATCCTACATTTAATGAGAAATACCATGTAAACACCAGTAACGGGTGTGTGCATGTATTTGCCCTTGGGTAACCAAATATGCCTGGGATGTCAATGCTGTGTCCCTGACGTGGCGCTCACATTTCTCCTATCCTGTTGAGCCAGATGTGGCGTGTAAGTCATCCACACCCTCTGATTAATTTGGTGATGATGAATATGTTTCAGCTGAGGACATTAGCACGGGCAGCACAGAGGAGGGCAACGGACACCTGGCGTGTCGTCTAAGACTCGCTGACGGAAGGGCTCAGTGCTAACCGCCCACCGGGAATTAAGCAATGTGGCTGCTTTTGCAGGGCTACTTCCCACAACGCAAATTATTAAAAGTGACGCTGTCGCCGTCAGAAGCTCAGGTCTAAAGACCAAACCCTTCTCCTCACTTTCTGACAACATTTTGTCATTAAAAGAGGGCAGCTGTGCACTTGCAATTAGGTGGGAAAAAGGTACTTCACATAGCCTTGATTTAAAAAAGAAATCTATTATCTACCTGTATTTTAACTCAATGTAACACAGCATTTAAGGCAAATTAATCAACCAACATTTTTTATAGAAGTTACGTTGTGCTTTAGATTGTTCTGAATGTTAGTTGATTTTGCAGGTGTACAATAAGAAAAACAGGATTTTCTAAGCTCAATCAAAAGAGCTGGCACCGGCAACATAATCTAAACATTTGAGCCTGTTTTGTAAGGGAACAGAGAACATAATTAACTGTAGTCTCACTGATAATATCATTCTTTAAAGTCTGAGCATTATAGTCCATCATTGATCCTCTAGTTAAAGAAGCTCTGGAACAGAAATGAAAAATAATATTTGTATAATTGTACGGAAGTTATTGATTCTTGAGACTAGTTTCTGCCAGTAGTTTTTGACCAGTAAGCCTTCACATAACAAGCTTTGGTCAAATATGAAGAAGTTGCTGCTCTCAGCCAATCAGAGGCCAGTATTGCAAGAATTTAAGGGAGTTCCCCCAAATCACAGAAAAACTTAGAGTGATGAAATGTTTGACATCATCAAACTAATTATAAGTAGCCCTTCAATTAGCCTTGCATTGGTTCAATATGCGGCCAAACCACCCATTTACTAAACAAAGTATAATAAAAAGCATTGTGCCTATTAAAAGCGATAGTAAATTAAGAACCATCCAACAACAACAGAAAAGTATTGACACACAAAAGCGACTCAAAACTTGAAATACTCTTGTACCACTTGTTGAATCACACAGGTCAAATGAATAAACCATCTTACTTGCATCCCCAGGAATCCTATGACAACAGAGTTTATTGTACCCAGAACCCCCTCTGGGTCAAAGGGCTGCGTGGAGCGATACAATTCCTGAACAAAAGCAAGACAACAAGGACAAGCAAGGTTGTTTTAATACCACCTGCACGATTTTAAGAAGAATTGGTAAAATGATGAAAGGTGTGTGTGAAAAGATCTTACTTTGCACGTGGGGTATCTGTACATGTTATCCCCAAACATCCATCGGTCAATGTATCCTGCTGCGCCCCCAGTGCAGTTTGGGTAAAGACCGTCATCCCCAATTCCACCAGCTCCCAAATACCCTCTGATAACAAACAATAGAGTAGTTACCATTCGAAAACAAGGCATTCTAATAGCAATGAAAAAGTAACAACATAACTATAAAGGATTTTTAAAAAATTATTTTATGAGATGATTTAACCAAAGGAAGTTCCTCAGGCCACATTTCCAATGTGAGAGATTTAGTTTAGTTCTTTATTTGAGCTCAACAAGATGCTGGAGGAAACACAAGAGCTCCTATTTGAACCAGGAGTATTGTAACAGTGATGTTATGCAGGGTCACGTAAATGGGGGGAAAACGCAGACAAAAAGCAGCAATGAGCAGAAGACGCAGAGCGAGGAAGATGGATCCTCTGCCTCGGCTCCTCTTATTGCACATGACAGACTCAGATTGGCTAATTATGCCCTCTGAAGCATCCACCACAGGCCCATAAATCACAGAGGTTCATAACACCAGCGACTCAAGGTGCACGCTCACACCTCTGCTGCAGAGCAACAGCCCCAACGGGAGATTATCTCAGCATGGGGGGATTTACACTTTAAGCATACGTGTACAGTGAATTCATGAGTGGATCTGGCTTTGTATGTTATACATACAGACAGTGGGAGCCGTGCTGGGACTTACGTGGGGCAGTTGGGTACAGGCAGGAGCAGAGTGATGCAGAGCCACAGAGTCTCCAGCAGGACGATAATCAGCCACTGTGGCCAGTACAGGACCACGTCCTGGACGGGGTTCCACCAGGGATGCTGCAACACACATACATCGTGTTAAATGCACAATTATTGTCTGCCATTAGGGGTGTTGATCAAAACAATAACAAAAGACACGTTTGGTAGTGTCATGAAGTATTTTAGGATCATAGGTGTTTGCCAGGGGCCAGACACAATGAGTTAAACTGGTCAAACACAACATTTAAAAATACATGTTTTACAACGCAACTTAGCTGAAAATTGGACGTCCCTGAGAGGCAGCGATCCGATTTGTTGCTGATGTTTTCCCAGTCTGTTTCTCTGTTAAAGTGGACCTATCATGCTATATTTGAATAATATATTGGGCCATACCGATATAAAACATATCTGTGAAGTTTTTTTTTCAAAATACCAAACAGATCATGCATTTTAGCCATGCCTCATTTCGCTCTATTTGCTCTTTTCCAGCCCTGTCTTCACAAGAGCTGATTCTGTGGCAAATGAGCTGCAGCTGACCACGCCCCCCTGCAAAGGAGGGACATTGCCTCCAACGATCAATGAGACAAGGTGAGTAACACCAGTAAAGAACAGTTTAATTTTTTGTACTTGTATTGCACTAAACAATTCTCTAGGATTTAAAACATTTTGGGATTACTAAAATGAAAAAACATATAAGATAGGTCCTGTCATTTTCAGAATGTTTTAAGGTGAAATGTTACATTGTACGGCTTTGATGTACCCAGGAATTCAAGGCGCACACAGTGAATTAGCTGTTTATAAATGTTTTGTTCCAGGCAGGACTTTTTTTATCCCCTGGTGTGTAATGAAAGACTAAAGTGAACCTGACAGAGCTGCTCACCGCTCGCAGTGGGATTTCTTCATGGCCCCAGAAAGTCTGCAGGAGAGACAGGACAAAGTAGGTGAAGCCCAGACGCTGCAGCACCCCAGGGATCCTCAGCCAGGACCAGGACACTGCAACACAGTCAACATCATGATCCCTCATGCATGCTCTGATACTCAGTGATGAATATATGACCTTACAACTCAGGTACCAGCACAGATATATAACTATTCCTGCTGATGTGAGCAAATTATAAATCAGGAAATAGACAATATTGGACACGTGAGCATCTTCTCCATAATTCCATTCCATCTTCCTGAAGGAGGATGACGGACAGCACTGGGGATGGTGTCAGCCTACAGGAAACAGACATGTCAAGAACGTGGGAAGCAAATCAAAGATTCCCAGTTATCTCTTTGTCTCGACAAATTGGGGAGGATAAGATTGGCTTGTGGTTAAGAGATTGATGGTAATCTACACATTAGTTAATTGAAAACCTTTTTGCCACACAAAGTGCCATGAAAACAGCGTAATCCCATTCATTGATCCAAGCAAATCAAATAAGAGGCGGAAATGTCTCCTTTCACGGGAAAAGAGGAAGCTCTTACTTATGACACACTTGTTAAACATGCAGGTCACACTCCCGCCATGAAAATTTACTATATCTGTTCCCCCACAACATATATTGTATATAAATTGCATCTTGAAAGTCTTACAGTTTTAAAGAGAACTGCTTTTCTGATCAATTTATTTAGGTTTTTTGTGTGAAGTTGAGACCCTTTTTGATGTTCAATATCATTTAAGAAGTGAAAGCTTTGCTGTCTGCTTCCCACCTCTGAGCACTTTCACTGATAGATATAAAATAAATAATGATTATGTGGTGGAAGTGAGAAGACTTAAACCATCAGAAAGTCTAGCAAATACTAGAAAAGTTAAAAAAAGATGGGTTTCTCATCGTCTGAAGGCTTCTCTACTGTCGGGGTTAGAACTCGACCTTCTGACCTCATCTTTATCTGACTAGGGCCCGTCCACACAGCGGCGTGCGTTGAAGCTTCAACGCTTCTGCCCATTCATTTTGAATGGGGTGACGTCACGCTTTGCCGAACTGTATTGTGGGGAGCGTAGCTACGCGTTGCTCGCATCAAAAGTTGCTCGCGTTGACTCCCCAAGCTTCAGACACGCCCACCGCCAAGCGCCCACCGCCAAGCGCCCACCGCCAAGCGCCAACGCACGCTGCTGTGTGGACGCTCCGTTACGTAACGTCCACACAGTGTTTGCCGAACTGCATTGTGGTTCCGTCGCGTCACTTTGCATCCGTTGCTCGGCCTGAAAGTTGAAAAAAGTTCAACTTTTCAAGCGTCGACAGAAGCGCCAGCCAATCAAATCATATGCCAATACAAGCGCTAGCCAATCAAACCGTGTGCTTGTGTGTCCGGGGCGGAAGATTCATGTGATTGGTTGCTGGTCGCGTGCCAGACACGCCCACCGGCAAGCTTCAACGCGACGCGAACTGTGTGGACGTACCGTTATCATTTCTTGTAGCTTGTCACCATCCAAAAACAATACAAAACTGGTGAATAGTCAGAGATCAAACTTTGAAAACACTGTCGTCTTAAGGTAAATAATATTGTTGTATGTCGAAAACGTCAACTTCTAAGGATTTAAGAGTAACAGCCACGTTTTTTAGCTTCATCACACTACGTTTTGAGTTAATCTAATGGAATGTGAAATGTAACCATTAAAATAAAGTATTATGCAAGTGCTTCAATAAAGGGACAAAATAAAAATATATTGGAGTTTCAAGGTCTCTGCTTTGACGATGATTTGTGCATCTAACCGTAGCAAGGTTTATTTGAAATGACTCATAGTTTCTGTTAAAGGTTAACACCTTCTTCTGTCTCGTCTGACATTGAAATGGTTTAACATATTGAGCCGATATGACTCCATTCTCTTATTAGATCAAACCCTGGGACAGAGCTGCAGAGGACATCCTTGGAGACGGAGGGCAGAGCTGCAGTTTATGGTAAAGTCAGTGTGCTGTTATGCCTCCAGCCTCCACAGCAGCTGCATGGGGCTGAAGAGTGTAACACTATCTGTTTGTAATTGTCCATTACCGCAGCGCTTGTTTTTGCTCAATCCGCTGCAGTTAAACGTCCCCCGGTGCTAGATTTTTAGACTACACACACAATAACAATATTTTTGTTAACCCAGTTACGCAGACATCCACCCAGGAAAGTCCATTAGCGATGGGGAGGGCTAATGTGTGAGGGGCGCCCCGCGCATCCCCAGGTGGACAATGAAATGTGGATTTTCAGCCAGCTTCCCCTTCTATAACCCCCGACACGGCCCTGCAGCTTTGGCTTTTATCACAAGTCTGGATTTAAACATATACTAGATCTTTGTCTTTGTCACTTGACAAACTGCAGTTTTCTGCATATTATAAATATACTAAAAATATGTAGATTACTCCTTATTATAAGACATGGTGTTTTCATAAACAACAAGTCTTCTAACAATTTCTGAATTCATAAAATAGTTGTTTTGCCTTTGAAACAAGTAAAAATGCTGATGATTACTCCTATAACCCAAGCTATTGTTAAAAGACATCTTGTTTTGCTTTGAACATTACACACATACAAGTTTATTATGATGCTCAAAGACATTCCACAAGGTGAAACCATCAAAAGTATTGCATATTTTATTGAACTATGACTGAAACATTTACTTGATTATCAAAGTAGTACCTTTACCTTTACCTTACCTACCCACAACCTACTAATAGTTGGAGGGCTACACGTAACTATATGGAATGAATCTTGAAAAATCCTTGTGATAAAATCTGCTTCAAAATATTTAATACAACAGCAAATGTATTGTTTGCCTCTTTCTGTCCTCTGATGGTTCTAATGATTCTGAGTGCTGTGCATGTGCAATTGGACATATTATTAAACCTGTCAGCGTCTATGTTCATTTCCCCCTTATAGATCAAATTAAAAAGCACAGAACAAACGCATCCACATATAAAGTATTTGTTCCATTAATAATTGAGTGCTGCATATGTCTCACGTACGTGGTCCGTCTCTGGGAGAGTAGTTGAGGAAGCAGAAGCCGAGCATCAGCAGGACGACTGTTCTCCAGGTGATTTTGCGCAGCAGCTGCAGGCGGCTGACTCCTTTCCTCTGCATGGATCTGAGAGCCAACACCACCGAAGTCCCAATAATAAACACAAACCTAGAAGACATAACAATAAAACACAAGTAAGACACAAATAAATATGCATATTTAAGTGAATTATAATGGGAGTGAGAATATATGACAGTCCTCTTGTATTAAACTTACCATGGCATGACAATGTCTCCCACAGTAAGGCCTGCAACGAATCCAGAGGCAAACATTAATATGAATAGACACACAGATACTTGTATTTAATGCCATTGTACAGAGTTCTTGCCCTTTCCTAATCTCTTCAATCCAAAAGGACTAGGAGGTGGATTAAGAACAATGTCCCTAAGTGCTGATCAGCCATTATCTTTCTATTTCCAAAAGGTGAATAAATATCTACACTCCTGTGACAGAAGCAATAAGGAGATTAATCAAACCGCGCTAAAATCAATACACACTTGTAGATGTGGCAGACAGGCTATTATAAGATTTAAATTGAGAACACCCCTAAACACTGACATGGATTTAATACGTTTGAGTGACATTTTAAACTTTTATATTCATGGAGAAAAAGGACACAGAATTCGTAGCATTCATTCCCTCACTGCCCCCTCCAATATTCTCCCAGCTCAGCTGCCATTTAAAATCTCATCCCTCCTTCCCCTCGTCTCCTCCCCGGTTGTTAATAACAACACGAATCTATGGATCGTGCCTTTTGATTTGGCTGGCGTGAGGAATGGCATCCTGTGTGTTTGGTTTGAGACTGCATTAATCATAATTAGTGACAACAGGTCAGAAATGCTGCAGACACAATGAGGAGATTGCTGCTGTTGAATAATTGCCTCGAGTTCATGCACTCATTTCATATCTGGCTTGAGTTGAAAGAAGGCGTACATAAATATTACAAGTATAGGCAGACTGACCACTGTGAGCTGTCAGTCCTTTCAGCTATAGAGGGCTACAGGAATGAGTCCTTAAACCTGGAAATTAGTCAGCATTTTCGCAATTTCTGTTCCTGCATCTAGAAGTAAATGTTTTTTTAATGGGTTTTTCGTTGGATGCCGAAATAAGGTCTGTGGTTAAGAAAAAAAGACAATTCCTAACAAGTGGTTAAATTAAACTGCATGTCATCATGCTGAAATATTATTACGTTTTTCGGTGGTGACGTGATTACATGCAAACACTAGCTTTTTACTTTTGGCGATTGCCTTTATGTTTCTAAATCTCATTTTTTTTTTTTCGTGTTGGAACAAAATGTGAAAGTACCACAAACCTTTATATGCCACATAGTTTATTTTTAACAATAATCCAATGAGCCAACAAAATCCCCAATCATTGCTTTTATCAAATCTATATGATAAGGGAAGACAAATAGTGTTAGTTTTTTTTGCATGTAAATGGTCAGCAAAGGCTCCCCCCCAAACTCCTCCATTGGACTCCTGTTTACATTTCTGTAACATAGTAAGGTCACTATGTATCACTCACGCTTCTATTGGCTAGCACTTCAACAATTTGATCTTAATAGCCTAAGGTGTGCGACATCTCTAAGCAGTTCACCAACATCACAACAGAGCCAGCTAACCAATCAGAGCAGACTGGGCTCTGGTTTCAGACAGAGGGTGAAAAGAGGTGCTGCAGCACAGACAGTATGAGAAAAATAAACAGCTTTTTGAACATCAAAGCACGGAGACACAACATATTAGAGGCACAAAATACAAATACGAACCAGAGGATGTATATAATAGGGCCCCTTTAAGATGTATTTCTGTGCATATCATATACTTAACCATTCCATGGTGCATGTTGGAAGAACCAGTAGCCTCCTCCACTGTAGTTCACAAACACCATCACTGTCAGGGAAAACCTACAAAGACACTACAATGAGTAAGCACTATAGCACGCTGTTGAGTTATTCAGCAACAATTGGATTCTTTTCATTCAGTAAATGATGGAAATTAGGGTTAAATGTGTTTTGAATTCAGCATAACTGTGTCATATCATAGCTGTTTTCTTAACACGTAATTTATACATCTGATACAATATTCGGGTTGAATTATATTTAAAGAGGGGAGGGGAGGGGCTTTTCTTATTCTGTCACACACCAAATGCAAGGTAATGCAATCTAAGCATTATGAATCACTCAGGAAATGAGCACTTGTCCTCTGGATCTCCTCAAGCAGGAGTGCTGACTAAAGACTTTGCTTCTAATATATGATACACTTTATGCTTTAGCACTGGCCAAGGCTGCTGAAACAGCACACGTGATGGAGTGCTTCACTGAATCAGATACTGGGGGGAAAAAGGTGTTTGCGTTGCATGTCAGAAAATGAGTGGGGCCATTACACAACACAAACTTGGGTGGGTAAATATGTATATATTTGCGTGGTCTGGCTATAGAGGGAGATTAAATTGTTTAACCATGTTAAATACTTGAATTTAAGCTTTTAATCCAAGTTTTATTCAATCAAAAATAAATTAGACAATAAGATTAGGACAACCTCTAAGAAATAGACTTTCTGATAAGATGCACTGTACTATATCTGCCTGCTCTTGTTTTTCTGCCCAGATTGAATTAAGAGGTGCACCAAAGCCATTACTGCTCTTTTAGCCCCAACCTGCTGATACGACATTCTAATCGGCCACTATCATCTCAAAAGGGCTATTAAAGTAAGGTAAACCTGGCTACATGTGTCCGTGTACTAATCTCTCTCACGCACGCACCCATCTGCATGCCGGCTATCATTTAAAATTTGACGAACAAATCCATTAGTCGCCATAGTGACAAAGACACAGGTTAAATCTCTTGCCACATGGGAGCCTGGTGAAAGTCCCTGCAATATCAGGGCTTATTGGCCATTTATTTAATCAAAACACTCTCATTGTGAATGAGAGCTCTATTTTAGGTAGATTACATTTCAAAGGCAGCACACAGGCGTCACTGGTGTCTGCCAATTGTGATTAAGGGAAACTATAAATGATTAATATGATGGGATCTGAGATCACTTTGCTTTATGTTGCACCAAAGTTAATACAATATCCAGGCTAAAGCTCCACAGGCTTGTTTCCTGGTGACTAATCAGGTTGAAGTTGTAAATATCCCTGTGAAGCTCTCCAATGAGAATTTGTCACGTCGGTAATAGACTTTATTCATGCCTGGGAATCAGTATATGTGATTTATAGCTAACGGATTACAGATATACATGTCTTTCTCGCAGCAGTGACAACTGGTTATGACTCGCTGATAGACGCTTATGGACTTCTTTGATTTGAATCACTGTACATGCATTACCAATTAGAGTGTTAGCTTAGTACTTTTCCCCATTGCAAATGGATAGTTACACTCTATCACTGCAGAGTATTGAGTTACCTTCTGCACTGGCCATATCAAATACACTGACATCCAACCTAGTCATAATAAATTACTGCTTGAGTGGGAATGCCAAGGTTCCTTTTTTTTTGTGTGGCCAAACATCAGAGCATATCTGAAACTGAATCGGAGGAAAACTTGGAGCTTAGTCAAAAATAAGGAACGGAATGAGTCAGCCACCTGGTGTTAAATGCAAACGACAATCCATTGTTTTGCTGTAATAGTTGTTCCTACTGTTGTATGAATTACTGACGGTGCGATTTCCCACAGCAAGGGAACTGGTGACAGGCTTTTAGCAGTGTGGCACAAGATTAAAATGCAAATCCTTTTAGAAAAATTAACGTTCAACCGTACCCCACTGTTCTCTGTATATCATGTCAGTGGAGCCTGAGCAATGATCAGAAAAACCTTTCAGCTCAGGAGAAAAGCATTTTGCCATCAGAAATGTCTCAGCATTTATGGTAGATGATGTGTCTGTTCTCAGCAGAAAGTTGTTACTTATCAGGGAGAATGGATCATAAGTCACAGGGCTGAGGAGGCAACGCAGCGTTAATCTTGAGTCACAGTTTGATTAAGTGTGTTGTCAGTTATGAGAATTTCCAGTATTACCTATCAGGATGTCAATATGTGACAAGTATCTGTAACCCCAGAGAGACATTTCATCTAATAAGATTAAGCTCAGCGGCAAACTGCATAACAGAAAGAAATGAAATCAAAATGTAGCCTTTCCTTGAACCTTTTGTAAAGTCTGGTTTAAAGGGTCCCTCTTCTGCTCATTTTCAGGTTCATATTTGTACTTTGTGCCTCTACTGGGACCTCTTTACAAGCTTTAATGTTCAAAAAGGTCCAACCAGAGCCCAGTCTGCTCCGATTGGTTAGCTGGCCAGCTCTATTTTGATTGGTCAACCACTTAGAAATGAGCCACCCCTTAGCCTATCACGTACAAAGTGTTGGAGCGCTATCCAATAGAAGCGTGAGTGTTAAATAATGATGTAAACAATTTTATAGAAGTAAACAAAGGAGTCCAATTGAGGCGTTTCAGGCAGGGGGGATTCACTCTCTCTGGAGGGAACTTAAGGATTTTAGCCATTGAAGACCATTTACATGCACAGAAATGTATATAAAATACTACAGGAAAGGGAAAACCCCAACAATCCTATTGAGGCCCCTTTAAGGGTATTTAACCAATACTGCTCCCAGAGTAAATAATACAATGTGGTGTTTTGAATTCAGCTCATATGCACAGTGGTTTCAGATGGCTTTTCATCCAAAAGGAAGCCACAGATGGAGAAGATGCCAATTGTCTGCTGGACGCTGCCTCTGTGAGCTGGATTTCCTCTCGTTCTCTATTTTGGCAGGAGATCTATGGCCGTGTGGATGTGTGCTGATATGTCGACTGTATTATTACATCAATTATTTGGCTAGGGGGAGGTCAAAGCCACACCAGCATCCTGTTTCCAGAGAGGCGTGCTTTGTGTCTACCCCCAGGCCACAATTAAGGCTAGCAGGGAGTCCAGATTCAATCACATGCATCACTCCTGTCCAACAGCAACACGCTGTTCCAAACCCAAGACGCTCTGATATCAGAAATCATGCCCAAAGCTATAAGGCCTGATAACAAAAGCTTTGGGGGAGCATGTGGCCAGACTGTGACCCCTGTAATTATTCATTATGATGGGCCTGTAGATCTTTATCATGCCTCAGACTGCTCCAAAAGGAATTAGCATGTGAACGAGCCGCATGTGGTGATAGACTGATAAACAGGATGGTTACTGATGGCGGACATACCCTCGGAAAGTGTCCAGTGAGAGCAGACGTGTTGGTTTGGCTTTAGTGGTATTTTCCTCCTCTGCCTCACAAGCCTGTGCCTCACCCTGTTAGGGTAGAACGATAAGATGTCAAGTAACTTAACACCATTTTTTTACATACACATTTTAATTACAATAGCAAGAATCCTTATAGGACCAGTTTGTAGGATTTAAGGGCATTTATTGGCAGAACAAATATTTTCATTTGCATATAACCACCTGAAATTAAGAATCATTGTCTGAATGCCTTTATATGATTGTGATAGCTGAGATATACAGAACATGTGAGGGAAGAGAGTAGTGTTTGCATTGTTTACATTTAGCATATTAAAGGGGACCTATCATGCAAAATGCACTTTTTGATGTCTTTTATACATACATATTTGTCCCTGGAGTGTCAGGAAACTCACAAAGTGTCAGAAAAAAACCCCCTTCTCTCTTCGTCCTCCATACCCACATCTCTAAAAATGGAGCTGATCCAGATTTTCGTCCGATATGACATAAATTACGTCATATCGGACATGCGGACCCACGGCACTATCAGAAAGTTGCCATCAGAAACAATGCCTGATGTGTTTTGGACGTAATATGGTCTTTGTTTACACTCAGAGCTAACCTGTACTGGAGTATGTAAAAAAGCAGGAAATAAAAAAAGGAACTCACCTTGTGGTAAACCCGCAAGAGAAAAAGCATTTGAGCTCCATGCTGTTTCAGAAATAATCCTTGATGTGGTTTGGAACATGATGGCGTTTAACCACGGCAAAATTGAACTGTATCTGCCGGGTAATTCTGAGCAGGCATTAGCTCCCCCTCCTCCTTTTTTTTTTTTTTCAAGCTAAGGACCCAAAATCAGCGTTTATTTTTTTACATTTTTTTATTTAACCTTTATTTAACCAGATAAAAAAGCATTGAGATAACATCTCATTTGCAATGCTGACTAACTGAAACCCTGTTTCTCTAACAGGGCTGGAACAGAGGGATATGAGGGGTGTCTAAAATGCATGATCTGTTTGTATTTTGCGCAAAACACATCATAGACATGTTTTTATATATTTTTATATATCTGAGACCCATAATATATGCCTGAAAATAGCATGATAGGAAGCCTTTAAAGAAATATAATAGTTTTTTTATATGAAAGACAGCAGAAAAACTGAACAAAACCATAAGCTGAAAGATGCTAAACTGCTGCGTAGAACTGAAAGGAACTGCAGAATCAAATGATAACATTGTGTCGGTTTGCCAATATGTCCGAGCCCTTCCCCTTTCACGTAGTCATTTGATGGAATGTTGATACAAAAATATTGATTAGTGCTTGTACCTTTAAATAATTAAGTTAATTTTCTCTTAGGAGCCCTCATGTTGCTTTGAATGCTAATTACAAGAGCTCATTTAATAGCTGACGGGTTCTGCTAATTGACATTAAGTATGAAATGATCCTCTTCTGTAGAAGTAAATTATTATTATTATTATGTTAGAATTACAGTTCTGTCTCCTGTCGGGATCACATTGATTTGTACCCTTCGTTCTTTAACTTTTAGACAAGAAAAGTAATTTTATGTTAAACTTGTTTGTAAATATTACATAACTATAATTTAAAAAATGTTGAAAAAAACAAAAATCCAATTGCCACAGGGGTTGGAACTCCTTAAAATGATGTTGGCCAACTTTCTATCCTGGGTCATCCTCTGTTCTGTGTGTCGGCGCCTCTTTTTCCCCTCCGTCTGTGAAGGCAGCATTGAGATGGCTCTGGCCTGTTGCCCTTTCGGTTGGATTAGCCTGACTCGCTGGCCTCCACGCCGGAGTTTAAAGAGCCAGAGCAGGAAGACACCAACACTAATATGTTATGATGGATCTGCATGCCAAACACACAGCATATGGAAGACACAGACATCTCGCTTGGAAGAATGAGAGGGGCCATTCATGCTCACCAAAATTACACAGCAGCTCTTGCCATCAAGCAAGATGATTGGACGGATATGCGCTCTATCTCTACCATGTAAGTCTGCTATACAATTGGCTCTGCTAACATTTGTATCAATCATTCCATTAGTGTCTCCCAAACGTCTTGATGACTGGAGTCTCAGAGCCATTTTGGAATGCATCCCAGGCTGCGTAGTTGGCCAATGGAAATAATCCAATGTTACTGTTGGACTAAGGCACATTATATATTTGAATATAAAGAAAGCAAATCATTTTGTGCAGTAAGGAAATAAAGGTGGTGCATTTTTTGTGCAGTGCTCTACTGAACACTTCATATCCAGGAGATAATGGGCTAAACAAAACTTGTGAAATACCCACAATACCCATAAATCTTACATTTATATGTTCATACTGAGATGTTTAGGATGTCCAAAATGTAGAGTTGATATTGATGAGATTTCCACTATCATTTGATTGGTTTATGATTGATCCAAATACAATCAATTAAATCTAATACGATAATTAAAAGCAGAATTTTACTTACATTATCCACTGAGTACTGTGAGCCTTGGCAGCAAATGGACTTAATACATTCTGAGGGGCAACGCCTCCTGTAAATGAGAGGTTTTAGCTCAGATGGAGAAGTACTCAATGCAGGAAGGTATTTTCATTGTGGATGATGTAAAAAACATATGGGTACCTGAAGATGTCGGGTGCCACAGTGAATAAGAGAGCGATTACGCCCAGTAAGAGAGCTGCTACCAGGAGAGCTGGAATACAAAAAAGGGAAATTGTTTCAGACTGCGAGCCTGTACGTCATAGTCTGTCTGGAAGTCAATGTCAGGAGCTTTATACTGTACATCTTTGTCAGAATAGGATCTGACTAGGGATAAAAGGCCTGATTAGCAGTCCAAACTGTCTGCTCCGCTCGCCTCTGGACTCCCTTGTGGCTCTCTGTCATTCAACCAGTGTCAAAGGGGATCCCTCAAGTGACAAACAAGGACCTAATGGAAAACTCTCTGTCCATCCATCTGGGTAATCTAACCCTGCAGGAGTAAAAAAATGAAAATGTAAGGCTACACTGGGACAAGGACGAGAAAAACAAAGACAGAGGGAAAGAGCTGGTCTGCCTGAGGGCATCATTGATAGGAGTGGGGTCAAGATGAGGTTTGTAGTAAGGCACAAACAATGCAGATAAGATGTATTTTATTTGTTACAGAACAAATTAAATCTACCTTCTTGAATTCAGGCTTATTCAAAAATTATTTAAGGAGCAAAAAGTGTGTTTCCTGTTTCCGTTTCATGTCATAATGTACAAAAATAGACATTAGTCCAACAAAAATGACAATTTGATTTGTATCTTATTTTTTTGCAATCAAAAAAGGCAAGTCTGCTACATCATGGTTCACCCATCCCAACCAGCAGCATTGAATTAACATTGAGACACATTATAGGAGTGCTTTTGATTATAAAAATAACATAGAGATAGCAGTATAGCCTTCTTGCGTCAAAGCACTGAAATAATGGGGAAGTACGCTCCGTATTTGTCTTCGGTGGAAAAACAAACAAGAAGCAGCCATTTTAACCTGAGCTGGATCCACACTATGATGACATTCACCCTGAACAAAGAGTGGTCACTTAATCACCTCGGGAAAGTCCTGGCATCTCTGCTGCCCACTCATAAAAACACCATAAAGCTCTCAGCACATGAAGTGAAACAACACTGGATCTCTACAACAACCTGCTCGCTCTTTGGTTAAGTTATTGCCAGATAAATAGAAAAAGTAATAGAGACATTTGAAAACAGCTACTTCAGCTCATTGATACGTCTGTTAAAGTCGCACAAACACTTGATGGCAGTCGATATTCTGGATTTCTTTGGGAGAATTAAGCAGGTGACTTGTGGTTTGTGGTACAATGCAGAATACAGTACTAACATGATTAAAGGGTGGATCTGATAGTGGCTGCACAGAAACATATCCTTGAAGAATACCGCACCCATCAAATGACCTCATGAAGCCCCACGGCCAATCAATCAGAAGTAAACTTTGATATTTCCTAGCAGGGCAACTCTAACCTGTCTTGAGCTGCTGACCAGACCATTACTTAAGCTGAGCAAGTCCTATGGGGAGTTTATATAATCACTGGTCTGCGGAGCTAATGGAAGCTCATCATACTGTGAAGGGGGCCGTCATGCTGACCATATATCTGCTTGGATAATGGCTACTTGGCCTTAAAAGTCTGATCTACAACATAATCTGCAATATTGTTAAGTAGAGTGTACATTATGGAGAGAGGGACGCTTTCAAAATCCCATTACGCCCTAATCCTTCCACACTCCCTAATGTATTACCCACAATCCTCCACGCGCGGAGCCAGGGCCTTCAAAACAAACAGAAAAGCTTTTCTTTTATCCCTTTTCAAGAAGGCATTTCTTATCTGATCAATACACATCATGTCCCAAGAGATGTGCGAGTATAGCTGCTCAGTAGACGTGGACAGGGCGAGTGATTCTCTGCTGACTCGATTAAGTGGGGAGTGGATCAAAGGCTTGTCTTGAGCGTGGACCAAGGTTCCTTTTCTGTCACTGTGGCTTAAATCATAACAGTCAAATTGTTCTATTAAAAACTGAGCGACTGATTACTGAAGGTCATCATCATGTTTCCTTCAGTGTTGTTCACTTACGAAGGTAGACGTTGTTTGGGATTTTATCCACAGCGTCAGTGCAGCTGGCAGACTCGGACATCTGGATCCAAACAGAGTAATGACCACCTTCCCCATACGTCTGACTCCACCTGCATCCAAAACAGTGAAACACTGAGACACACTATCTGCATGTCTGAACGTGTTCCTGTCTCTGCTTCGTATTGTTAGGGAGGATGTTGAACTTTGTTCTGATGTTTAAAAGCACAAACAATTACAAGATGTTTTATTTGATCCACTGTGAAATTATATTCCCTTAGAAGCATTATGAAATGTGTTCTTTTATTCACTTTCTGCTGTTTTCTCTAGACCTAACTAAAATCTCTGCAAGCTCAGCAGCAACCCCTAGTGTCTGCTGTCTTAAAGTGCGTCCCCCTGTCCTCTCGTCATGTCCAGTTCCAGGCCCCCAAAAAACATGCATTACATGCTCATATTGATCCACTGTTGGGATGACATACTAGCTATCACTCGGAGTGTTTTTTCAAACGGGAAAAGGAAATCAATGGCAGCAGTCTGGTTAGAGACTTCAGCATTGATCTAAGAAGCGCATCAGACTTCTAAGAGGGCGAAAAAAGGCACCAGAGGCCTGTCATGTTGCAACCGAATCTCTTGCCCCGTGTTTACAGGTGACCCCAAATGGAAACCTCTGTCAGTCGTGTCAGTCAGTCGTGGTTGTTTAAAAATATGGCAACTGTCTCCTCTAGTTAACATCCCCGCAGAGGTTTCAACAGGATATGCACAGCTTTGACGCTTTAATGAGCCCTTTTCATCAATATTGGAATGTCAGGTCTTATTAACCCCAAAAAGGCTGCTGATCGATACCCGGTGAGGTGGTTTAAGGGAGGGCATCACTCAGGTCCAGAAAGCAGGTCAGGATTACTCCCCCAGCCCTGTAAATGATCTCACAGACTGCTGAGGCAGTCATCGGATGCCACCACACTATATCATGGCTGGAAGCCAGAGCAATACACTCCCACAGGCAGTTAATATGCGTAAACAGGAGACTAATCAGCATTTTTACTTCCTGGGATTGTAGGTGGTTTAATGTGGTCGATGCTTTGTTAGAATGTTTAACTGGTTACCTGCAGAGAGTCACATTCCTGGACTGTGAGTCCACTTGCATAGTCAGAGTGAATTTTGTGCTGATCACCACAGATGCATTGTTGTTGTTGGGCTTCACGGTGACCAAATGCTGGTACAGACACTGAGAAGGGAAAACAGGTGAAACACTGACTTAATGGGATGGAATGGGGACATGATGGTTTAGGATTCACGCATTTTAAGTTGTATTTGTCAGATACACAAGTAGAATGTGCAGTTGAAAGCTAATCTTTTAGCAGCGTGCTAAAGAAATAAATACGAAAAATATATACATTATTATGTTACAGGTTCATTGTGCAGGGCAGTTCAAATTATTAAAAATATATTTACTTCTCTTGTTCCAAGTTGAGTAAATATTTTTGGTCTTTACCTGTTCCTTGTGAATTGCATCCAAATGTCTCAAAATGTTTTTAAAATTCTCAAAAGAACACACACAACTCTTTTGTAGAACTGCTTACATTTCCTTCACAATAAAACAAAAACTTAAAACAACATAAAAAAAGTTAGGAATGACTGTAATTGAGGTCAGAAAAGCAACTTTTTGTTACATCAAAAAGTGCAGAGAAATAGTAGACTAGATCAGCTTTAAATGTAATGTCTGCTTTTTCTCTTAGACAAATCCCCAAAACCTGAAGAGTTTAATATCATACCATCAGGGGTATCTATACTTCAGATTTTTAGGACATTCAACCACACACTAAATATGTTGGGTTTGAAAGACAGTGGAAATGACCAGACAGGGGAGGTTTTCATGAACGATGCTATTGGTTAGAAACTTAAATCTCAAACTTTAGTAAGTTTGCTCCCTTATTGATATCTGGATCAACCTGGAATAACAGACAGCTGGAAATGAGAGGCAACAGAGAAACCGTGTATATATTTTTGATTTACCTTGAAGCAGTGATCTGATGTGTAAAAGACCTGCACTTCTTCTGCCAGCTGGTTGTGAAATATTAACAAAGCCTGGTCCATTTTCAGAGTGGGCCCTGCATAGATTCAAAGTGGCACTGATTTACGGTGTACACAAAGCTTTTTGTACATCATAAATATAAAACACAAGGGTGTATCAGGTCTCTGTCATTATCAAGATCATAACACAGACTCAATATTATCGACAGAGTAAGTTCTCATACAACTGACAGGTCTATTTGTCATAATTGAATGTTTACACCGATTATGAAAAACAAATATTGATTGACACCAAAAGCGGAGAGTCTAAATATGTTTGAGGCATAAAGTAACTGCTCTTGGAATCCTGTGTCAATCTGTAACTACATGAAGACTATTGAGAGTTTAAAACACTAGAAAGACCCACTAACACTGTATCCAAAAAGACTAACCTGATGTTAAGTTTCCTCCATAACTGCTTGTTACAAGTATTAACAAAGTTATACTTGCTTGTAGTGTCCTGGGCTCCATGTTGCTACTTGAAAACATTGGCTACCACTGCTCATCTTTACAGCACTCGCACTAATAAAAAAAAAAAAGCGGTCAAAGGGCAAAAGGGCGCACGTTGTGATGCGTTTATTTGAATAATGTGTGGCACAAAATTCGTCTGCAATTCAGTTCTAGAAATGATCAATACAAAACCATTATTGATGCAAACTTCTCAATCTCAATATTGTAGGCATCAGAGGGATTAGCCATTTTTCCAACCATCTGACTCTAATCTAATGTGTTTGTCTTAATCACAGCCTTCCTTTCTAACCTAAACACTGAAGCATTATTATCATCTTCCCCACCCAGCCAACTGTGAAATGTTGATCACTTGTCACATCCTCTGCCTCTCCTCATTTCATTAAGCAGTTCATTTCCCTGAGCGCTCGCCGTGACAGATGAGTTCACCGGGGCAATCTCGCAGGAGCAGCTCATTAACCTCTGACATGAACTCCAGTCAGCTGAAGAGCAGCGTCTGCTTTAAAATATGCCGTCTTGTTAAACAGAGACATCATTAACTGTGCTATTATGCTACAGTTGTAGTTAATGTGCTCATATATAGAAGATATGAGGGTATCAAAGGAACAGTATCTTTCATCAAACACTGTTGGTGCAGCAATGTTTGCTGACACAATAGCTGGCCTCATGCATGCCTTGTGCAACACATGACAGTTTATGATTAAGCTTGTGCTGTCAGGGGGCCAAAAAGCCTATCAGCAGGGAGGATTTATGCGCAGGCTTCTGCACGGGCAGCTAAGCAGGACCTACGGCTCATGTGTCAGACTGGATTCCAGTCACTCTCACTGGCTGCTCCACAGATCTGTGCAACAGGGAGCTCGAGCTGAACCTCTTCTGTGAATGAAAACACTCTGCAAACATGGTGAGTACACAACCTCTCTCCAGTGTGTGAGGGCTGCCTAATACTCACACACCTGTTGCCATTTTTAGACTATGAGATTGACTAAAACTAATCTAGAAAATGTTTTATAATACAGATAGATATATTTGACATGTGTCTGTATCATTCTGAAAGGATAAGACTGACATATGCATATTTTCCTGTCTTTGTGTATGCACTAAGCCACTGCGCGTGATAAATAGACATGGGTTGAGCCAGTGAGTATTGTCTGTGTGCTGCCCATTCGCTCTACTGATAGAGCAGATTAGAGTGTTGCTATGATACCTGTTGATTTCATTACTCTGTTTCAGGCTTTGATCGTGACATTTGCTTGCTCTGGTTTATAGGCATGACCGCTCATCTGTGCACAAAGCCTTCATAAGACCCCTCTTGATTGCACAATTAAACACAAATAGGGAATGTTGTGAAATGTTGACAATGCAGTTAATATTTTTTGTTTCGGTTGTTTGAAACAAGCCACTCTAAATCCATGTGACCCTGCATCATGTGTCAAGATTAGGAACAGAGTGACCAAACAGAACCCCCTCCAACACCCCTCCCACCTCCACCATCACAAACCTTTGAACCAGCTAGTTTTTTAAACCAGGAATGCAGCCTCTCATTGTTTCCAGATGGGATCCTGTGCAACCAATCACAGTTTGTGTTTGTGAAGCTGCCCCTCTCAGTTCTGCTTTAACTGTTCCCTCTGCTCTATACCAGGCTGGTAAAATTCAGAGTCTGACTGAAGAGGAGAGGGCCCACCTTCTCCCCCTGCTACGCAACGCTCAGTGGGTGGAACTTGGGACACGGGACGCCATTTACAAAGAGTTTATTTTTAAAGACTTCAATCAGGTTCATAATATAAATTCCATATACCTAGTAACCATTGTATATTATGTACTGTATATATGCATGACTTCATTGTGTTGTTTTCTTTCAGGCTTTTGGTTTTATGTCCAGAGTGGCTTTACAAGCTGAGAAGATGGACCATCATCCTGAATGGTTCAATGTCTATAATAAGGTATTAAAGACTAATTATGATTCATGCAAAGGAAATTAATTTACAACCCTAAAGTTGTAAATAATATACAGTGTATGACTTTAGGGCATTAGTGGTCATCAGTCAATACTAGGCTGCATCACAGTTATACTCCTAATTGGCTTTCTCTGCTGAAGAAGAGTCCAGTGTGCCAAAGCATAACATGCATAAATAATTTTTAATAATCTGCAATATCATGAAAAACGTTATGTTTTGAAAGCACTGTCTTTTTAACTGAAGTTGATTCAACACAACTCCTTCCTGTTAAAAAAAAATGTCTAAGCTCACACAGGTGTAGTGTAAGGTGTACAATGAGACATCCCCATTCCCCAGAAAGTGTTAGCTTGTGAAAAACATGTGTTTCACTTGCAAATGCAGTACATTAGTTGTTAGCTAACGCAGGCAAAGTCCAAAACTGTACTACTTTGGTTTACTTACCACCATCGCTTCCAGACGTAAGCAGATCTTTTCTGCCCGAAAGTTCTGAAGAAGTCCCTTGTTTAGCGCCACACTAGACCAAACATCCATGAGGTAGACACAGACTGTTAGCTTAACCAGCTAGTAGCAGGTTGTCACAGTGTAGCATTTAGTGGCTAAAGAGCTAGATATTTCCTTCAGGGGTTGAAACAGAGTTAAAATAGAGTGAATATTGAACTTACATTCATTAGGTGGCTTGAAAACATAGCCTGGAACATGACTGTGAGTGCTAACCGTGTTTGCACAACAACTGTTAGCTAAACAAAAAGTAAAGTGATTATGTCGGTGTTGTCGACAGCTTGATGCTTCAAGGCCCAGGTAAAAATAAAATAAAACCTGACCAGGGTTGACAGCTTTCATCGTCTACTTTAAACGTACTTGCTTAAAACATTCAACTGCACTTTGGCTGCTTAGGGCCTTCATTTCAGCTGACATCAGGCAGGGATAGATGGTCACTAAATATGTTTCTCCTTCTTTTGGCTTCATTGTTAGTCAATGAGAAAGCTAGGGATGAAAATGCTGTATTCTGGTTTCAATTTGAAGTTTTCTGATTAAAGCAACATCTTTGAGCTAAACGAGACACAATTAGATCTACTAGTAATTTTCTAGTTATATGCTCCTTTTTGTTTAACAGGTCCAGATTACTCTCAGCACACATGACTGTGGGGGGGTGTCCCAGCGAGACATCACTATGGCCACATTCATTGACCAGGCATCAATGATGTAAGACACCTGCATCGTCAGTCATTTCAACAGTGGAAAATGAAGAGCTCTTCATTTATTAATTTCACTGAAAATTGCTGAGGATGTGATCTGCAAATCCAAAGAATATGTTACCTTCAGTGAATTGTGAATGATGTAGGTCGGTAGGTGTTGACCACAAATGGTCCAACGTGGTTAAAAAACTATTGTGTTGCTGGTTACACATTTGATGAATAAATTGGATTAAAAGCTAAAGGTACAATTATGTTCACACATAACATTCTTAATATTAGTAATTTTTCGGAAACCATTCCATTTATTCCATTAAACATTCATGTGTCCCTCTGCCACAATTAGTGCATTATGTGCCAATGATTTTGTACTTTACAGTTTAGTAAATGTTATTTTCTGTTGAACTAAAAAGAAAATGACCAGAAAAATTATAAGACTGAATGCATTTTATTGAAAACACCACTGTAGAACATCCACTATGTGTGACCGTGATAATTGCTTAGAGTGGTATAATTGCATTTGGATCATGTGCAAAGGGGAAAAAAATCTCCTACATGAGATGCACTGTCACATGAAAACAAATCTTTTAACCGTGTACATTCAGAACTACACAAAATGACTTCACAGGGGTGCAAAACAGTAAAAAAAAATACCGTTACAATATAATGCAATCCAGTTAGCTAAAACTAAAATTACAATAGTTGTTAGTTAATTGAATAGTTTAAGACTGATGTAAGGTTGTATTTAATTGCATTACAGCTACATGTCCAGCCTGTGCATGATTGAATGACCCATGGATAAATGATGTCGCCGTTATGAAGCCAAATCCCTGAGGATGTTACAGAAAATCTGCTATGACGTCATGAGTTCAAACCTCTGAAGGCACAGAGGTGAACGCTCATTATTGCTACATAATGTCACCATCTGCAACACAATTTAGATTTTCTCCGCAAAATTCCTTTACAGTATGTAGTCATTTTCACTTAAAACAGGATGTTGCATTACACGGTTTTATTTAAGAGACAATTATTGAGGATATTTTTCCATAAGCAAACAGGATGAGTCATTGCTGGAAAACTTTTTTTGCACAGGCATGAGTATCCACACCGTTACTGGGCACAGTATTGAAAGAAGGATGGATGAACACATGATGGTATGAGCTACAATCGTTAGTGGGGTATGTCATCAGCCATTTAACCAGGTACTGACTAATAGCTTAAAAAATCCCACACATGTAAAAACCTAAATACATTCATGTCTAATCTCTTTAAAAATGCTCAGCATGTAAAACACAAACGCTCACAAATTAAGTGATTAATACACACCCAGTGGTCACACAAATGGTTAAATTACACTTACTAACAAGGCCGATATGTAATTCAATACTATGCTTCTATTGACTTAAAACATTTATAGTAGAGCAGTCCTCATTGTTTCACTTCACAAAAGGAAAAGTTATATATTGCACAAACATGGAAATAATTTCAAGGAAATACATAATTTCAACAAGCAATATTAGGAAAGCAAATAAAAGAACGACAGATGTGTTGGTGTTACAGAATGCATTGTTACATTGTCAACTGTAAGTATGTGTACATATCCTGCTGAATGGATATATTTACATTCAGACAGGGCAGAGAGTGGGTTTCTCCCAACATAAACATTTGAATCGATCAGTCTAACAGTTTATCTTTATTACAGTTTGTATGCCCTTACATTGTGAAGATTATGTTAGACAAGAAAAAAAAAACACTTGCCCTCTTTGAAAGTGTTTCAGTGGATGAATACATGACATTTTCATTGAGTAGAAACTGAGGTAGATTGAATTAGGAGACAAATTATTAAAAACTAGAGTGATAGACAAGTGACTTTGCAGATTATTGAGGGACAGAGGTGGAAACAGCCTTCAGTCTAGTGTGTTGATTTGTTTAATTTCCTTTTACTTTAAAAGCTAATGTGTGGAATTCCAATTAAAAAGCCCAAGAGTCCAATTAGTTTTGGATTCCATTTGCGGTTTAACACAAATATATATATTCATGGCCTTGTGGCTAGTTCTACCCTTTGTAATTTAAACAATTGTATACATTATTAACTACATTAAACGCTCCCACTATCTAAATCATTCTCCCTCTGTCTACAAATCCAACCACTGTAGATGGATCACGAAAATAGTCATCACAATAAGTGCCATCATACAAAGGACATGCATGTTCATGCTCAGACACACTTCTACCATAACATCAGAACTGTAGGTTCAAGTGATTTACAGATTACCCTGATATGCGCTAGTCGGGGCATCGTAGAGTTTTTACATTATAAAAGCTGTCTGCCAGAATTGCCACATGATGATGATACCTTTTAGCCTCCACATATATAAAGCACTGCATCATGTTTATACTAGAGGGCAGCACAGCGTCACTAACAAGGGTTCACTGGTTTTTGCTGAGTCATGGCAGTCAGGCAACAAGCTGAAATGTTCCAGTAAAAAAAAAAAAAAAAGGAATGGTTTTGCTATGCAATCAGTAGAGATTATGAGAAACATTAGCATTTAACACATGCTAAAATTGAAATGAACTGTTGAACATTTAAAACAACACAAACAAACACACGCACACACACTTTCACTACATACATGATAAAATCAAACGCTTTTGGAATAAGTAATTTCTTCTCTCTCTGCCTAAACAAGCGATTTCCCTCTGGGCTGATTACAATGACTATGGCTTGTGCTTTAAAGATCTTTGCAGATGTTTTCCATATGGTGTAGGTGTGCAAGATAAGGCAACCGTTGACGATTAGCTCGAAACTCTAGGAGGAAGCGAGCGTGTTTCCCTGCGTGCTGTGGGGTTGGGGCCGGGGGCGGGGGGGCCCATGCAGCTTCAGTGGTGGGCTTTGCCGTTGCCATTCATGTGGCTGGTGTTTGACAGGGACACCTCAGTGCTGTAGAGACAGTCCAGGAAACCTCTGGAGATCTCCGTCACCATGGATCTGTCTGGGATGGACTGGGCCATGCCGTAGATCGCTCCCTGAAACAACAGGAAGGCACAAGGGAGTTTACAAATGCTCATTAAGTGTTGCAGCTGTAATGAACCTAGAGCCAAGGTAAAACAAATCGTACTTGGTACGTAATGTTAATTATGCGGTTGGTTGTTTTTAATATGAATGTTAACTTATTTCTGTGATGAAGATGATGTGCCTTGCTGTGGCCGCATTTTGATCACCCTACATCTAAAATGTTGTATGTCACCTGATAAGAATGGGCAGCGGGGCAATTGTTGAACTGCGAGAGTTTTTTTTTTCAAGTCAAAATCTTTTGTTAATAAAATACCTATCTTGACCCAAGACCGCCGGTTGTTTATTGCTTAGGTTTGCGTGTCGTCAACCTTGCTCAATATATGATAGGAAGGTTTGGAAGACAATACATTAATAAAGTATAAAGACACACCAAACAAGCATTTACCACACGGCAGTACAATGTAGCAGCTACGATATGTAAAGTGCAAGAGGAGATACCCCTGTGTTAAAGTGCTTTTAGCGGTGATTGCACGTCTGGTTGTTTCTCAACCATTCTTTGAGTTGACCTTTAAAGCTATTGAGAGTGGGACAATCCCGTATCTCAGCTGGGAGGCTATTCCACAATGAGCTGCCTTTAATGGAGAGGACATGTTGTCCAAAAGTTGTCCGTCTATGGTCTCCTCTGGTTTCTGACCTAGTGCAGTGTGTGTGTGTGTGTGTGTGTGTGTGTGTGTGTGTGTGTGTGTGTGTGTGTGTGTGTGTGTGTGTGTGTGTGTGTGTGTGTGTGTGTGTGTGTGTGTGTGTAGTTAAGATGTCTTGTTGCAAAGATCTGGGGACTATTTAAAGAGATCTAGGGACTACTTACAGAGGAGAGATTATGAACAGTTTGTGGTTTGAGAGCATTTCAGGAAATATATGATTATTTACTATTCTTATTAACCTACTACTTGTACTTGCTTAAGGGTGTTACTACTTCTCCCAGCAGCATACCTTCCAACACCGCCCAGAAATATTTTTTTTGTAGCTAAATGCCCCCTGGTCTATTTGATAGATTTTAATGCTCTAAGTTGTGAAACTGCAGCTCCGACAATAATTAGGGGAGAAATAAAAAAACCTAATAATAATAAAAAAATAATCAATGAAATATACCAAGACATTTAAAGAGGTTTTTCCTTTCATTTCTGTTATTCAACTGAAGATGATTCTTCATTCCCTGGTGTGCTCTAAACAAACCTGATTGGCATGAAGCCGGTTTGTGCATGTTGGGTGGAGTTCCCACTCCATTTAAAACTCTAAACACAAACAGCATTCGCAGTATGTGCAGCAGGAAAACAAAATGCCACGTGTACCAAGAAGATGGGACACAATAGATAGTGGCAGACATATTTGACATGCTTTGTCACACCTCACTACAAATGAAAGTTGTACTCTCTCTCACACTTGGCACCATGATAGGTGGAAACAATGAACACACACTAGAAGGATTCTCTCCTTAGTGTTCTCAGGTTTCCACCTAAAGTCTGAAGACATGTAGGTAAGTTGACTGGAAGTTTGGATTTTTAGATTATTTGGTAGCTTTTGTTTTCCGAAAATGTTTTTCACTGGTGTGAATTGTGTGTTTGAATACCATCACACCAAAGGGTGAGTTAAAGTTTTTTAGATTTCAACGCAGTATATGTTTAATTTAACTTACTTCTTTGGAGTGGCAAAACATATTTTGATATCATACTCCATTGTAGCTCACAGCAAATGGGACACTTTTTAAAAACAAATCTATTTTTAAAGTGTGGAATTCTCCTTTAAGATCCTGCTTGGTTATATAGAAGATCCTCCCAAGTGTTTGTTGGTTCCATTTACCTAACGGGCGTATTTTGTATACTTACTACTGTACTGTATACATACTTTCTATTTATGTGAATTTAATACTTAAACATACTGTATAGTCAGGGTATTATTGCAGCATGAACAACTGTGTAGCAGAGCTCTCTCACCATTCCTGTGGTTTTCTCTTTGGGGTTCTTCAAGATGATGGCGACCTGCTCTTTGACATCATGGACAAACTGATCGGCGACGCCCTTCTGCGTGTGCAGGACTGTGCAACAAATGTGGATGCTGTGAAAGAGAACATCATAGAGTTGTCAAACTCCTGACTTCTAATGAAGTTATTCCATTTCTTGAATATTTCTTTCAATACGTACCTGGATGGGTACTGCAGTGTGTTCAGATTCCAGCCCTTTGTCGTCAGTGCGTTGGACAGACGGAAAATATCAAACTCATCGGAGCCTATTGCCACCACCGACACCTCGGGGTCCCCAAACACAAACACACCTTTAATCTTGGAGATTCTGTCAACAAAAGAAACAGAGTAATTGAAATGGTGCAAGTGATCATTTAAACAGTAGTTTTTAACAGACCTGTGTGTCTTACTCCGTTTTGATTTTGCGAGCTGTGCTAATGATCTTCTTGGTGGCGTCTATGTATCCGTTCTCTCCTATGTGCATCATGGTCGCCCAGCAGGCGGCGATGATCCCTCCGGGCCTGGAGCCTGCCACAGAGGGCGAGGCGTAGATTCCCCCCTGCCAGTCTGGAGCCACAAAGTACTGGTAGTGCCGGTACTTTTTATCACTGTAGAGGATCACTGAGGAGCCTTTAGGGGCGTAACCGTACTGGAGAAGAATGTAGAAACGCAGCATTAGAATTGCAATAAAGTGTGGCCTAGAGGAGCCAGTATATATAACACTGGTCTTTAAACTATATGATTAATCCTTTACAAATAGTGACATTTTTATTTTCTGGATTTGTTATAAGATGTTTTTTTCTTCAGTAGGCAAGCTTCTAACCAGCATTAATTTGGAGTGAATCAACAACCACTCCTTACCTTGTGGGTGTCTGCAGAGATGCTGGTTACACCTTTTACCCTGAAGTCGTAAGGAGCCAGTGGGTAACCAGCCTTGGCCATGAACACAATGAGAAAACCTCCCAGACAGGCATCCACATGCAGGGGGAGGCTGTAGCGCAGCGCCAGCTGGAACACAGCGAGGGAAAGTATAAGAGACTTGGCCTTCTTCTTCTCATTTCAGAAAATGTTCTAGGGGGAATGTGTCACTTCTCACCTTGGCTACTTCTTCAATGGGATCAATGATTCCATGTGGGAACTGAGGCGCAGAGCACACCAGCATGGCCGTGTTCTTGTTGATGGCTCTCCTCATAGCCTTGAGAGAGAAGAAATATGGACATAATTACTGTCTATGAGAAGAAGTCAATGAGCACATGCTGTGTCGAATGTATTCTCACCTTCACGTCTACTTTCATGGTTTTCTTGTCGAGCGGAACGTGAACAAGCTTCATCCTAAAGTAATGCGCTGCTTTGTCAAAGGCTGCGTGGACACTCAAAGGGGCAATACTGCAAAAAGTAGAAAAAAAAACAAAAACTATAGTTACAACTTCTGTAAAGAGCAGTCAAAAACAACCTCTTTATATCCATTTTAAATCAAGGTTGACAATCTATTATTTCATTTGATTGTTTTCCCCCTCCTTTAGTGGTTTAAAACTCATGTGTCTTTTTACTTTATTTTGCTCAACAGTTGGTCTTAATTAATTACAGATTGCTGGACTTTATTTATGTGCCTGTTACCTGTGTAAGGTCTGGTGATTTTCTTGAATAATCCACTTAGTGTTTGTTGCAGCCACTAGTGTGTAGCTCACGTGTTGTGCCATAAGGAACTAAATGTGCTAAAAAAAATGAGGTTTTGTTTGCTTGGGTTTTAAAACTGATGAAGTTGGCAACATAAATGTAACGTCATATCGCAAATATAGGCGATTCATTTCCTATTAGGGCCTGAGGTTTTTTTCCCTGTAACTTCTCCAATTTAAAATGTGGCAATGCAATTCTTAATTACAGCCACAATTTTTTTTACAATAACATGGAAAACCAAATGCTCTGTACTAGTTGAAACTAAAAGACATATCAGTTGAGAAATAAAAATAAAAGCTTTTACAAGAAATGTCAACCCCTTACCAATTTTATGACTATTTTAACTTTTATTATCATCTTATTTCAACCCTTTTTTGTCAATCTCTTTTTATGAGGTAACTACGTTTTATCATGACACAATATAGTCCCTTATTCCTTTTATTTATCCAAACTAATATTGAGACCTTTCAAAAAGGGACGGTTGCATTGTCTTGTCCTTTTCAAAATATGAAACTGATTTTTACAACACCTAAAGCAGACAAAAATATGTATAACCAAAAGACTTAAAATACTTATCAACTATTTCTAATAAAGCTCCACTTACATTTCAGGGTATTTGATCCCACGTTCATACGCCATGTCTCTGTACGCCTTGCAGGCCATCAGTATGCTCTCAGTTCCTCCTGAAGTGACCTGGACAAAAAGGCAGAGTTGTTGAAATGCTTTGGATCTATCCATCCTTAGTTCATACAATGTTAAGCATATGATGAGGATAACTTACTGCGCCGCAGGAGTTTGGTCCACCGTGGAAAAGTGTGCAAGACATTCTGACAACTTCTGCCTCCATCTTTCTTACGCCAGGAAAAATGTCAGGGTGAAGTGGGTTGCTCCATGCGAAATTTCCATATACCTAGGAATGAAAGAAAGGAAAGATTTTTTTAAAGGAATAAACAGGAGTTGTTTGTCAGAAATGAGAAAAGAGAAACAAAACAGTTCAGTCCTATCCTGCTTACTGTAGCTAACACTAAGAATGCATCCAAGTTCAACCTTGGACTAGTTGTGCTTGGAATGCCAAAGTCCAGAAATGTATACAAAGATGCATACCTTCACCAGGAGATTGGTCAGAGACTCATCCCCCCAGTACACTGTGCCCGAAACACATCCGTTCTCCCACTTCACCTCACCTGCGACGTCACAAGGGATTTCTCGTAAATATGAAAAAAGGCAACAGTCGGTAATGAAATATTCTCCAGGAAGTCTAATCTAGACAGATAGTGAAGGTCAGACTTACTCAGAGTCTCGTACTCTCTGATCTTGTCCAGCACTTGGCTCTGGGAGAGGCCTTTAGAGGGCAGCTGCTTAGTGTAGCTCATCCCTTCCTTCAGAGTACACAGACTAGCAGACATGTCATCCAGAGCCTTGTTGAGCTGAGTCTGGATCTGTTATACAAAGAGGAAAACAACAAGTTAGGTAAAGCATGTTATTCCCTGAAAGGAGTTATGGTGATGTAACTGTTTGTCAGACGTGACCAGAACGTGTCTGTACTATCTACACTTTTTGTACCATTTTGATAAAGTGAGCGTCATAATGACCAGAAGTAACAGACTGTTATCACCAGTGCATGATGTAACTTTTTCCAAAGGTCTCCCCCCCCCGCACCCTCTGCAAGCTGTACTCAGTCATCCATGAGTGACTCAGTGCACATCTGCTTGGAGAAGAAGGAACTCATTTACCACTGATACTTACTGTTGCGCCAACAAAGGGTATTTTTCTGACGAGTCGAAAGCACAGCTTCTTGATTCGCGACAGGAGACCTGTAGGCCAAAGACACGAGGCAGCAGCTGTGGTGAAATGGGCTCACACACTCATCCGACCACAAACATTAAACAGCTGACTATGACCTATAATCACTCGTCAAGACCAGACGTGTTCGATGAATAATGAAGCCGTGTTCACAAAGCATTTCATTCTGACCCTGAAAGCACTGAAGACATAACGAGTCCTCCACGAAGCCTCACTCTGTCCAAGTTTCAGTCTCTACGAGCTGAAGTAGACAGGTGGAGCTGACCTTGTTCATGAGGAATTCAACCACTGATTGATTGATGATAGCAGATCTAGAAAGTCTTGTTGTTAGAACTTACTAGCTTCAGAATAACAGGGAACGTTCAACTCAAAGGTAGTCACTAAGATGAGCAAGAAAACTGCAGAGAAAATGAAAGCGAATAGGAGAATGGCGGCCAAACTCCAATATGGGAGGATTCTGCCTCATTAGCAAATATCTTTCTAGAATTGTTCTTAAATCTTTCTGATTTTGTCAGATTCATGACGTGTTCTCAAACCACAGAATGGTTTTTATCTTTATTCTTACAATGATAAATCCCATTGTTCTCATCCATTAAAAAAACACCTGTGACAGCTGATCCTAACTAGCAGGTAAACACAAGCAACACTTAAGGGAACAGAAATCTTAAAGGAAGTTGGAGAAAAATTAAGTCAGGAACGCCAGAACGGGGGGGGCATACATAAAAAAAATGTCATTAGTATTGACGTTTTTTTATTTCTACAGGAAGTGAACTTCGTACGAGGATGTTTTTTTACCTAGTGTCAGAAGGGGATGCGTAATAGCATATATATAATATAATCTATCGCTCAGTTCAGTAGTGTTTACTCATTTTAAAAGATCATAATGCTTTGAAAAATAAATAAATTTGTTTTTTAAACTATTGAAATCCTATATAATACAACTAGAAGAAAATGTGCTATTATTACCAATTATTTTTGCTCAAAAGTCAACTCTCAAATGTTGTTGAATAAGGCCAAGATGACTCAAGAAGCTTTGTGAAGATGGCCTCGCCATTTTCATGAGTTATCATATCTGATTACCCTACCCCCCACCCCCACTTATCAGTCGTGTATCACGTGTAAAAGATTACTTTCTTGCTGGAAGAGGAAGCCTTTGATCCAGACGCCGCCCAGCGTGGTGATGACCGACGCTCCGATGATCTGCCAGGGCTCCAGGTCGGAGCAGTGTGTGTTGACCTGCCGCCGGCCCTGATCCAGGTACAGCAGCACCAGCTCCCTGTACACCTCCAAGGCACTCTGCACAACCACATACAGATACCATGTGAAACATTACGAAGAACAAAAGAACTAAACATCTGCCCAGTCACACAATCATGACCACATTATTATTATTTTTAAAAAAAAGATTTCAAATTGTTGTTAGATTTCTTAAGACAAGATGAGGATATTTGTACCTGCATTTCACATGTTAACTGTGAATGCATGTATTATCCCATAAAACACTGTTTAAATGATCTAACAGTCAAGCCCTAAATCCTTAGTCTCATCTCTGGAAATAGAAAACTGAAGTCCAAGTTTGCTTGATAAAGATTGAACTAGTTATTTCGAACCCAAAAATATTTGCCTAAATATGAACCACATTACGCCAAGAAGCAGAGACACATTTCCATGAACTCCCTTTCAAGAAAGAGAAACTTTGTAAACTACTGACTTTAAAAAAGGTAAAAAACAACCCCCAACGCTAGAAGCTATATTCACAGTATGTCAAAGTCAAATGTCCACAACACTTAAGTATTTATCATTCAATAACACAACCCTCAAATATTAAGACAGCTATAAAAATCCTAATATGGTTAGCTATGAATATTTATATTAATTCAGGCTCGTATTCAGTTCACATATCCCAAATGTTAGTACTTACATCAGAAGACATTGTCAGACCTATAGGGGTTCAGTTCCTCCTCACACTAACTAAAACTGTCGTGTGTGTTCTCCAGGTGAGAGTGAGAGAAAGCTCAGCTGCCTGCATGTCTGTCAGCAGACTCCTCCCAGCAGCTAGACCGGCAACAACACATCCAGCCATTGAGGGATGTTTTGCAATAAATCATGCTTCAACAAGACAGGAAGTTCCTCTCAACAAAGTCAGATTTTAAGTTATATTCTCAAAATGTAATCCTGATCACAAATTAACGCTGACCCCTTTGTTATTAATCTAAATGTGAACGGAACTCACAAAAGAATACTTGAGCCTAGAGGCAGCAATATGACAGAAACTGACTCACGCATACCATTTCATAAGTGAAGCAAAGCAATCTTTCCACTATCTCTCATCTGCTGTGTTTTTATTACACAATAGCAGGCCCTTTTGATAAGCTGGAGCCTTGTTTTCTCCACCTCAGCCACAATCAGAAGCTTAAGGTTCAAAAGACATTATATTAAGTAACCCCAGTCTGCGCCGCCATATATAAACATCCCATAGCACAATGAGGCAAGCTCTGTTGTGCAATTGAAGGTTTTGAAACAATGTGTTGTGTACTTCAAATCATGATTGACTAACAGTGAAAATGCATACATTTAGTTTGATGATGAGGATATGAAATATCCAATATAATATATAATATAATATTCAAATCATTTAGTGAATGAATGGAGGGAGGGCTGTCAGTGAGAACACGACTCACACCCCCCCCCCCCTGCTTAGTCTATAGCTGTCATACCTGCCTGTTTAGGTAACATGTTCTTATTCAGGTTGGACTAGATCAGCTGAACAGAGGTGGGTAGTCACGGAGAAAAAAATCCATTACTGTGTGTTGACGGTGAGGGTTTGGGTTTTCATGATAGGGATCGTGAGTAAAGGTAGCGTGCTGGTATAAAGCACATTACTGATGGCTGTCACGTGTCTGCCATAAAGGAAAAGATTAAACTGCGTTATCTCACATCAGTGCAAAAGGCAAGTCTGAAGATATGAAGATACAGGCCTCTCTGTTTGTTATCCAACTCACTTTCTGTCTATAGGTTTGCCTTCAGGTCCTTTTCCCAAAACAATTCAATGCTTTCTTTGCCACAGGAAAAGTAATACAGAGTTCACACAAAGACACTTGCTCCAGTATTGTCCCACTTATTGTCAAACAGTGGACGCCCATTCCTTTGCTCCCCCTCGTACAACATTTGGCTATTCTGTAAGGAGAGCTTTTGTTGTCTCAGAGAGTAGGTCATGTTCTCATGGAAATGTACTGGGTGTGAGGTGGCTGCTCCTGGATACATCAAGGGGAAACAAGACTGTGAGCAACACCGCAAGTCAAACAGGGACCCAGAAATCATTCAGGGGGAGATCAATACTTATTTTCTCTAACCGTTTACAAAGCGTCAAAGCTGTTGTGTCATGATTTGACATTTAGCCCAAAAGTACGCTTTTAGAGATACTTCTTCTTCCTCAAAATGATCTGCAGGAGTCCCTGTGACACACTTTGGACATACATGTTGCACTGACAGGCAGCTGATATGTGTCAGACTAGCCGCCCTCAAGTGCCGAGTCTACTGTCTGGTGTCTACCATTAACAAAACTTGATTCTGCTCCTTTAAGAAAACTCCCCCAAATCTGAAAAGCTCTCTGGTGGCAGTACTAAAGTAATGCTTTGTTTAAGCTTCCTGCAGGTTTAAGTATGGCAGGATCTCGAATTGTACACACTGGCTGGCTCCTACAATAAACAATAGGAAGGAGCTGCAAACCTTACACGCTGACATAGATTTAGACTTAATAGAAGCTTTACATGAAGTCCTGTACAGGAAGCACCTTTAACACTTTCTGTGAATGTCTTATTATTTCTGAAAACATATTGTGGCTCGTGTTATGCAAAAATATCCCATTACAGGAGGCTTTAAAGTATCAATATATGTTAAGGGTTTCTTCAGAAACACCCTTAAATCTGTAAACCAAGGCTTTCTTAATAGGGGTCACAGTCACACACACTGTTTGTGGAGGTGCAGCATCACTAAGAGCAACACTAGGCAGCTCGCTAGCTCACTTTACTATTGGTAAACAAGTCTTGGTCTCTTTAAGCGTCTTGTAGCAGCCCTGCCACCGTCCTGAGTGTAAAAACAGAAACAAGTGAAGCGACGCTTACCCAGTAGTCCATGTTGTTGAGGCAAACTCTCGCTGAAAGTCCTCTTTTTTGTCTGCTTCTCAGGAAAGTCACCTCCAGCAGCCTGCCTTCGAGTCTTCGGCTCTCATCTACATGCTACTAACAAACACAGCAGCAAGCTATTAGCTAACCCTGATTCAGGAAGTGCCCAGCAGCCTGGTAAAGCTGCGCCCGCGCGGTCTGAGCATGTGTAGATCTAACAGTGCTGCGGATCACCACGAGACCGCTGTGTGTGCGGGGCCACATGGTTTGGAGATCTACCACTGAACAGACAGGAGTGGCGCACGTTTTGACGTCCACAACTGAGTGAGTTAGCAAAGAGCCGAGGCTGCTTATGCTTTTCGTAAACTCCAAACCCAGTCATATCAGTGCATTGTAAATAAATATAAAAAATACAACATAGCCTAATCAGATTTGTTTCAAATAATGAGGTCGAAATCCATCAACGTTGATGAGCTCACACAAATAATGTATCTATCTAAATTAATACATTTACATATCTTAATAATACAAATCCACCTTTTTTGTTGGAAGTTAAACACTTTTAATCAAAATATACATAACTTTAATAACAAAGTTTATCTGTAAAAAGTTTAGAAATTAATTCAGTTTCTACTCATACTCTGTTCAACACCATTAATTAAATGTCCTCTATCCTTATGTTATGTATCGCCTACATAATCATAATAAAACATAATGTTCTAGAACAGGGGTGGGGAACCTCCGGCCCCCGGGCCGTATACGGCCCGCGAGACCATTTGCTACGGCCCTCGAGGTAATTTATAAACACACGCAAAAAAGAAAAAAATTAAAGAAATCTAGACCACAAAAAAATTAAACAGGCGAGTGCCTGTTTTTCCTGGCCAAGGTCAGGGTCCTTGAACACAACACGAGCCTAACGTGTCATCACGTGGTATATGTCTCGTCTGAAAGGGGAGCATGGCAGGGGAGCACCAGAACGTCACTTCGGACTTCCAAAAATTGCAGTACCCATAAGGAGCCGTACACATGCCGCAGTTTCTGCGTGGCTGTGTCTTTAGTTGTAAACCCAGTGGCGATCTGTTCATCTGTCATACTGATCATACAGTCAATAACTTTGTTGTTATTAGCATCTGGTTAGCTAGCTATGCTAACGAATATAAGAAGCTTTTTCTCCAACCAGTGAGGTAAAGGCACATCTTTATATGATCATT